GGTTGTCCACTAACCAGAAGGATGGCGGTACGATCCCATTCTTTCCCATTCTGTGTGCCGACGTGTCCTTGTGCAAAATACTGAACCCCGCGTTTCCTCTGACCTGTGTGAAATAGTAAAAGTGCTGCGTACAGATGAACTGTGTGAATATGTGTGTGTATGAGTAAATGTGTGTATGATTTTAAATGCAGTGCAGACAACTTGCTGTATAAATGAAGCTTCAATGAACATTCCAATCTTTCTCACTCAACAACATGAAAAAATATCAAACCCTTGAATCGTGAATGTTAAATATTAAAGTAGGCTACTGTATCTATGTAATACTCTTCTCTAACTGAGGATATAGATTTGCAGCACAGCGTCTTTTCACCTAATGTCAGGAATGTATGTCGCGTTAACCACAAGGGGCTTTCCTTATAATTTTCCTCGTTATGGTTTCCTTGTGAACGCAGGTTTGACACGTTGATGCATCAGGAGGGGTGCAACACTGACATTTGTTGTCTTTCCTACCCTGTTAACACTGGATTGACTACGTACACTTCTCCCTCTCTTTCGCTCTGTGCCCGTGTGACATTTACGGTTACTGTGAATACCTCGGTCTGTGCGAGTAGTTAGCATTGTGTGTTGCTCAAACCACTGGACAGTCAGACATTAGTGTCATTCCAGCATTTAAATGTCAACTTATGCTATATGGTGAGACAGCCAGAACAGATGCACAAAGGGCTGCACCTACCAGTAATAGCAATACTGTCACCCCCCCCCAACCTGTACACACAATACACTCCTCAGCACCTACAGTCCTCTCAGTGTCAGTTGAACAGCCACAGTCAGACACCTAACCCAGCATCAACGCTGACTCACTCATCTGTGTGGGTCTTGTCTTCAAACCCTAGATAATTGTTTTTCTGCAGTATCCAAACACTTTATGTGACGATGAGGACGTTTTAATCTTTTTAATTCATCAACTGCACAGTTCATGTTTGATGTACACGGCAGCGTTTTGAATCTGCATGCTAAGGGGTTTCATATTGTTGCTTTGTTGAATGAATCAAAGTGTTACTGAACTAAACAAAACACACACTCACACTGTGATGTGATAAAAGTCTGAGTTTGCATGAGTCGTCTTACATTACCACAGTGGTGGTATAGGGAGCAGTCGACTTCAGAAGAACCACTATCAAGATGACTAATGTGCACTGGAGGCATCAATGACTAACTGTCACTGTACAGCCACAGAGCCTTTTTCACAGTAATTTGGGTGACAGCACTACCAGTCAGTGTTGTGGTTTGGAAGAAGTGAACCTGTGCAGCGCTCGGGGGCCGGGCTTGACACTTCTTTGTAATTTGTGGGTGCAACGAGCTTAGGGCCCTGCCAAGGGACTGTCAGATTAAAGCTATGCTTGCATTGAACTTTATAACAACAACTTATACAGTACTGTATAAAAGTTCAACGCACACCACAGCTACATTGCAGTATATCGATACAGTACAATGAATTACAAATCATCATTGGCACCTATGTATCCCTGCTTTCCCTGTACAATAAATGTGTTTACTATATCGGTGTAAATGACATGTTTTAGCTCAGGCACCTAATAGAACACAA